CAGCTGGGCGATACGGGCCTCGAGCAGGCGTTGGAAAGCACAGCAGGTTTGACAGAGCTCTGCGAGTCGGTTCCTTCTCCAAACAGGCACCTCTGCGAGTGTCCGGTGAGCACCTCGGGCATGAGCACAAGGAAAGCCTCCCCATACAGAACAAGCGATGGTGGCCGAGTTCTCTTGCTAGATGTCTTCTGCAGTTTGAGATGAAGGAGGGCACGAGAGGTCCAAAGAGCACTGTATCTTGGTCCCTTTTCAGAAAAGGATCTGATAAAAGCAGAGTGATTAAAAGCTTCTACTTGTATTTCCTCATCTCTCTCATTGGGGATATAAATGATAGGGGGGAGATGTAATTAAGGCTGCTGCCCCTCCAGCAATTGCTCAGGCACAGCCTACCAATTTCAAGCCTTCAAAGACCTGAGCACTCTGCCATTTGCTGGGAAGGATGCTAAGGCAGCTCTGCAACCTCCAGTTACCCAAGGATCTGGAAGAAGCTGGAGCTGCCCAACTCCCAGCTGCAAAACATCTGGGTTACATTGTCTTCCTGGATTCCAGGACATAATCTGTGTACAGCTTCTACTAGAAGCTACTGGATGTTTCTCAGCTATCACCCTCTGAGCATTTTTGCCCTTTTCCAGGTTTTCATCTTGCTGTTAATAACTCAGCAGGGCGCACCGCTGTTAAGTCCTCTGCCACACGCAAAGCAGAAAACAGTTCCAAAGTGTCCCTAATTTCCAGGGCTATCAATCCCTTCCCTTTCCAGCGAATAAGAAGGCAAAGTCAGATCAACAGTTTCTGCGCACAAAGGCTGCCTATGGAAGACACACTTACAATCAACAAAATAACTGCACTTTGTCCTAAATCTCTACGAAGATTGCCGGGGATGAGGTACAGAGAAAAGGGCGTAAGTGAAGTCTGTAGAGGGTAGGAGCTGTTACGGCACCTCTCCCCCACCACTCTCTTGAACACGGCCAGCATGGCGCTCACAACTCTTCCTTCTGGATCCAGGCAGCAGGAGAGAGCACACGAGGGCAGAAGTATCTCGCCTGCTTCAAAAACAGAGGCGGGAGTTAAGGCTAATGCCTTCAGCCCAGCTTTTTGTGACCCTGGGATGCTCCGTCAGGTGGCTACTAAGGCAGGGCTCAAGTCTAAGGCTAAGCCCGATTGCTGGAGGTGGGAGGCTCCTTAGGGAGCACTAGCAGCCTAGGAGGGATTTAAGGACAGTGAGTGCCTCTGACGCAGAGCAGTCAGCGCTGCCCCTCAGAGCACCGGGGCTAGCAGGCCGAGGTTTCCCGAAGCCTAAATGCGTTTTTCTTCTAGTCATTTTGCTGTTGCAATTCCCCTTCTTTTACTGTAGTTTCTTTTATCGGTGCTTGGTCCAGTCTGAACTACAGACCAGCGTGATTTCTACTTAATAGATCATCCTTCTCCCCACTTTGTGCACTTGAATAAATAAGTTTTTACAAGTTTACTGTGCATTGTACACTCTAAAAATAAATGAAATAAAGTATATGAAATTTATAATTTTTCATCACATCTCTATAAAATACAGCCGCTGCTCCGAGCGGCGCTTTCTGTACACAGAACACCAAGTCACAATACAATTAACTGCACCGGTTTGATAGTGTGGCAGCACGGTAAGCTAGATTGTGGTGTTTTTGTGAACTACCGTTTAGACCTACTTAAAGCAAAGAAATACAAAAGCAAAATGCACTTTGTCAATAAATGTACACGGCTAAGCCATTTCTGAATCAAGTATCAAAACCCTACTAACAAAATACATTGTACTCGGAACAAAAACAACAAGCTGAGAAAGTCTGCTACCTGCACCAGTACAGAAGCACTACGTTCAGTCTTCCCAACGTTGGTAAAAAGGGCCTGACCAATACCAGTGATTATGCACCCTGTTCATATGCCAATGACATCCCAAAACAAGTTACCAGACTAGCTACCAAAATTCACAGTGACTTGAGTGCCACCAGCAACCGCAAATGGCCCAGTGAAGTAGTTTGAACGGGGCAGGACTTGGATTTCTTCTGTTGAAACTGTGCCTGCGGTGGCTGAGCTCGCCTGGGCCACGGCCCCCCCCCGCCTCCCCGCCCTGCCACTCCAGAGGGGAGGACTGAGTTCTTGTTTGTAACGAACACAATTAAAAACCACCCAGTTAACAGAGCGCCTGGCTCAGTTCAAATGAAAACAAAACTTTAGATAAAAGACTGCCATTCTCTGTAGCTCACACTGCTGCAAACCCAGTGGATTTTGGTATATGAACAGAGTAAGTTGAATAAATAAACTGCAGACCTTTCTGAGAACTGGGTTTGGCATTGGTCAACCCTCCAAATTCAGCACCAAGGATTCAAACTAGAGGCACAGTTCTGACGGATGAAATAGCACCGAGAGGAGGCTCTTTACATCTCTGCTGGTGTGCCAGTCCTTTATTATTCAGAGAATTTAATAATAAGTTGTATTTATGATTCTAGGTGGAATAAAATAAGTCAAAATTGTTTTCACTTTAAAAAAAGATAAATACTTTATCTAAACTATCAACAATACAAACTGGAGCTTTAAGCATTTCTTTTGCCTTTTTTTTTTTTCTTTTTTCTTTTTTACTCAGATTCACAGTAAATATTTTCTCTGATGTTTAGGTCTTTTTATGTTTTTATTTTGTCCAGTAGTAAGAGAGTAGAAACCCCTGCACAGGCCAGGTGAGCACCTTTCAGTGGAAGCCGAGTGAAGTTGGTCCACGTTGTCCTTGCATAGGTCACATTGGGTTGAGGTAGAAATCCTAGTTACCTGCACAACAGGAGGAGAGGAAGAGACTCATCTAAATAAAAGACAAAAATCTACTGTGTGTTAGATGCGTCAGTCATTTCTACATTGCTCCAAGACCTCGCTAGCCAGCAAAGAAGGAGCAACTCTTGACCCAACCGCAATTAGACAGAAAGGACGCCTCCGAGAGTGACACGCGGCCCCTCACGGCTATTGCAGTTTTTAAAGCTTTCTGACAGTGTAACCATATTGAACTCTGTCCTCCTGTGACTGACCTCAAGGGGTGGTGGTGGGGAAAATATTTCCCCACTCAGCACTTGACCTTTTTTCTAGCACACACTAATCTGCTTTGAATTTTTTATTACCCTGGGGGAGAAATATTATGAGAAGCAAAGCAGTTTATTTTAGCCCTTGATTCCAGATTTCAACCTTGGTTCATCAAGGACTCTGAGCACACGTATTCACACCAAAGTCAATGAAACTGCTCAAACATTTGACCTACGTTCAAGAGTCCCACGGAGCGGGACCACAACTACGGTACGTCCGTCATACACCATCTCCCAGTAGCATTATTTCTGCTCCTTTGCTCCACAATCCAGCTTTGTCATCCAGCTACCTTTCTCCGTACGTCACTTTTGTGCCTTGCCTATTTTGCTTAGAACCTTTTAGCGACAGGGACCATCACATCTGATGGGATGGAGTCTAGCCCAATATGACCTCAGGTCCAGGTAAGGCAACTGCTTCAGCAGAAGGCTTTCACGCTGCTCTCGCTCGAGTTGCTCACGTATACAAAATCCCAAGCCTAACCCTCCTCGCCCCTTCTCCCCAGTAAAATTGTTTCTATTCAGGGTCTTTCAAGCCCATTCTGTAACCACTTCGCACTGTTGGTCTCTGCGGGGGGACCGCATTACTGAAAATCCTTCCTCAGCCTCGCTTTCTGGTATAGGAGGAGGGAGGTAATACTTACGTGCCTCACAAAAGCCTAATGAGGGTTTGTTCGTGTCTGTGGAGCAATTTGATGATGAAGACACTATACACAATGCACAGTCAAAAGAATCTCGCAGGTATATTGTAATTGAGTCATATGTTTTATAAGCGGCAAAGAGTATTCAACCATATATTGTATGTAGCTTTGGTATCAGTGAACAGCAAGAACATCAAAGACCTACAAGAAAAGCACGGAGCAAGCTCTGGGGCCTAACATACTGATTTAACTGCGCAAGCACAAGTTGTTACATCAGGATGCCACAGAGTATTTTCATTAACAACAGTACCCAACTCTGTGGTGGTACACTTTATTCCGGAGTTGCTCTAAAGGCATTTAAATACTTGCTTCAGTAAAATGCATACAGTCGCTGGAAACCCTCCTTTCTTCTGTGGCCCCAGCCTTTATGAAGCAGGGGCCGCAGTTAGCCCTGCAGATTCCCTGTGTTCTCATTCACAGTCTACCCAGTAAGCCCGTGATTGCCAAGTGAGCGTACATACAGCATCTGATGGTTACTGTTAGCCCTAGCAGACAAGTCCAATAAAGCTGCAGCGCACAGATAAAATACCACCCTTCTTTGCTACCTGTGGTGGTGTTTTCCAGTGATTCAGGGGGCACATTAACTGCAATGCAAGACCAGTGCATTTGCTCTCCAAGACAAAGCTGCAGCTTGTAACCTAGAGATTTTTTAACTTTATGATTATTTAGAGCAGCTGTTGACTATGGTAAAAACAAGACCACCACATTGCCACATACAGTCACAAAGCAGCACCGTCACGCGTCCTAACGCTATGCAAACATGGACTTGTGGAGATGCAACAGTCTGTGTCGGAGGGCAAGAAGAGGGGAGGGGGGAATCAAAATAGGCAACAACCACTTCCAATAAGTGTATAAAACCATACTTAAAAATAGACATTTCCTCCTGATTACTGATCTTCAGAAATAAACATTTTCATGAAGTGATCCCAACCTGAACATAATCCTCACGTCAGATGAGACAGAGCAGAGTTACCATTGTGAGCACTCCTTGTCGAGAAATCCTGACTCCCAGAACAGAGAGCATTAAGACTCTCCATCCTCTGCAACCAGATTATTTGCTTCCCACATTTTAGAGGTTTCTCTGTTTCACAGAGCCCATCCCCAACCTATCTCTGAAAAGGAAGAAGCATCATTCAGCATCTTGTACAAAACTCCTCTTTTTTTTTCTCTAGCCTTACCTTACAAAATAAGAACTGTTAGCTAAGCAAGCTCTTTATCGTGGCTTAACCCCAGAAAGGTGCGAAGCATAAGGAGACTGCATGCCAAGTGTAACCCACATAGCGGACGTGCCAGCTGCGTTGGACTGCGTGATCATGGGCGCGGACTGTGCCAGCGCCAAACGGGGCAGAGGTGGGTGATGGACTGTAAAGGAGGGGCGGGAGGTTTTGTGCTGGAGAGAAGCTAGCTTAATAGACAAAGAAGCGTTAGCAGATTGGACAGAAGCAGCAGAAGAGGATGGCAAAAAAGCTTCGCTAGGTGGGATGGATGGCAGGTTCTGCAGAAGTGCAGGCTCGGAGTTAGAAGCAAGTAATGGAGGAGGTGGGGGCAATGAAACGTTAGGAGGGGGCGGAGGGGAATGGAAAACAGATTGCACTGGCGCTCTGTTGAGGTGCTGAGCAGATCTAGTCTCACTAGATGTTACTAAATTAGAGGAAGGGGGTGGAAAGGATGAGGATGAGGTGCTGGCAACAGCCTGCAGAGGGTTTAAGCTTAGCACTGTGCTGCTAGAGACAGCACTGCTGCTGAAACTGGCTCCAAATTGATGAGGAGAGGAGGCAGAAGGCACCGCATGGTTAAAAATACCTGCAAACAGGAGAGAAAAACTCAGCTTCAACAGATGGGCTTTGTACAGTCTCAAGTGACAAGAGAACCAAAACAAAACAGCAAAAAAAAAAGAAAAAAAAAAAGAAAAAAAAAAAGAAAAAAAAAAAGAAAAAAAAAAAGAAAAAAAAAAAGAAAAAAAAAAAGAAAAAAAAAAAGAAAAAAAAAAAGAAAAAAAAAAAGAAAAAAAAAAAGAAAAAAAAAAAGAAAAAAAAAAAGAAAAAAAAAAAGAAAAAAAAAAAGAAAAAAAAAAAGAAAAAAAAAAAGAAAAAAAAAAAGAAAAAAAAAAAGAAAAAAAAAAAGAAAAAAAAAAAGAAAAAAAAAAAGAAAAAAAAAAAGAAAAAAAAAAAGAAAAAAAAAAAGAAAAAAAAAAAAGAAAAAAGCAAAATTATAATAGTTACAGCCCCATACAAAAATATGCAGCATGAGAAGGCAGCAAGCAATGAGAGATAATGGTGCAGGCCAGGAGGTACAAAAGATTTCACTTACCTTTCCTACTGCCAACCTCTAAATGCCACGAGGAAAAATGGTCAGACCCAAGAACTGTCAGTTCTCTACCCCACGGGTAGACTTTTGATGAGATTACGTGGTCTCTAGAGTTGTTTATCTGAAGACTCAAACTGCTGCTCTTCCCTCCCCACCCTCCTGCTTTCCCACTTACAGGGCAGCAGAGGGGAGATTGTATTTCCAGCAAATCTACGTGCTGAGAGATGTGAGAGTTAGGATTTCCCGACATGGTGCCTGAATGATTATGGACAGGTAAGAAAAACTGCCTTGGACATTTAGTAATGGCAGGTTCAGACTATCTTCTAGTCCTGCCAGCTTGTCTCCGGTTTGGGCCACAGAAGCCAAGCCTGTGCAGAATCCCAGAAGTGCAAGGTGCATATGGCATTGCCCTTCCTGGCAAAGAAACGCTCTTCGTGTCCATTCAAGAGCCAGAATGCTACGCAATTCCCAACACCATCTCCTCTGAAGAGGCACTGATGTTTTGCTCTTCCTGGATCATGCTAAATCCATTCAAGGCCTAATCTCAACCTTTACTCAAGTTGACAAGTTAGAGATCCTTAACTTAGTACCATGACAAGTTAAATCTTTTACCTGCAGGCGGACCTAAGTTGGTTCCAACACAGCAACATCTGAACAAGCATACATTATGAAATCACAAAGTCTGGGTGTATTCTTTCATTAAGGTGATACAACAAGCTCATCTAGTAGACAAAGCTCATGAGATTTCACTGTGGGGAACTGAACTCATCCTAGCATTTCCGAGAGAAAGAGGAGACTGGTTATGTGGGACAGATCTGCTTCACATCCTGCAGAAATGAAAGGGTTTCACCCCTGGAGAGGCAGTGTCAGACTTTCCTTTAGGCCCTGTCTTATACCAGAGAAAGAGTTCTGCCTACCTCCAACTGTTCCACCTGTAACCCCAGGAGAGAAGTTCCCCATAGTGTGAGAATTAGTCAGTCTGGTTGCAGCTGATGACACATGGACCAGACTGGCAGCAGCTGGCATTGAATTAAATAAGGACTGCAATACTGAGGAATTTGTCACCGAGTTGAGGTTTGCTTGCAAGGCCATGGGGCCGAGGGGGAACTGTGATCCAGTGGTCAAAGTGTTTAGGAAAGGATGGTGCGTCTGAACAGAAGATGCTGGGTTGCCTGCCGAAGAAACAGCAGTAGAAAGGCTTTTACCATTCAGAAGGCCACCAGATGAAACAGCAGCAGAAATGAAAAGGTTGTGGCCATTTTTAAACTCCACATCTCGGTCCCTTCCTTTGCCGACCTTTCCGTTATGCTGCAAAGAGTTTTTTTCTGAAGAACCCCCAGTACGAATGCTTATTTCGCTGATCTCTTTGCCTTTGACCCCTGACCGGTTTAAGTCTTCTCCTTTCGTGCCGCTGAGGCCTTCGAGTTGCCTCTTGTTCAAAAACGGATTCGTTTCCGATACCCCCACATCTTTGCTTCGCTGCGACTGGAAACTCAGGGAACAGTTGGAAGTTGTCACGTCTGAAGCCTTATGTGGAAGAGAAGCACCATCGATAAAGCTGTGTAAACCAATGTCAGTTGACAGTCCGCCATTGTACGTGAATCCGTTAGTGGAGTTTGTGCTAGGGCTGAGCCCATCTGCCCCAGACGAGGGCATGGCAATGCTTTTCCTTGTGTGTGCTGTGATCTTGGCGTCGATGGCAAGGCTATCCTCAGAGGACGGCTTGAAGGCAAACAGCGAATTCTGGCTCAGAGATGAAACCGACTGCAAGGGACTGTCTGTAGTTTTGGTCAGGTTGATGTCAGATATTGGTGAAAAAGTAGATTTCCATTTACTGCTATTCATGTTCTCGTTGCTTTGTGCTTGTTTCCTCCCAGATAAGCTGCCACCTAGTTTGGAAGAAAATTTGTAAGTGTCAAAAACCAGCATTCACTGAATCTGCTCATTAAGAACAGGGTTTTATCTTTCAACACCCACATTTTATCAGTCTGTAATTCTATTTCTGATCCAAAGGCAGAAATATTTGTGAAGTCACCTAAAAGTCCTTAAAATTTAGTTTAATGCTCTGAAAAAGTTTGAGAATGCCGATCTACTTTTTCCTCAGTCTTTGTACTACAGATCCCTCCCCAGACCCTGAGCCAGCGAAAAAAATCGGTCAGATCTTTGGTGACCTGTGACAACAGAAAGAACTGACCCAAAATCTGTAATTATCAGCCACCTGTCTTAATTACGATTACGCAAAGCCGCGGCAGAACTGCACTCTGCTCAGCAGCACAGAAAAGCCTGCTTCCGACGAACAACTTCAGTCAGTGGCAGACACCCGTTCCCCAGACCAACCATTACAACAAATAATTAAGATTCCTCACACCTACCATTTTCAACAGTCTTCTGCGGAGATTTGCTTTCCAACGATATTGTTGCAATTTTCCTTTCAATTCTAGTGGGAAAATAAACAGGTTACAGCACTCATTGCAGACCTTTTGTTGCACATTTACTCGCATAACCTATCTTCCTCGTGTTCACGTCTTAACAGTTGATTAGAGCATAGAAAGCCAAGTCAGCTAGAAAGCTGTATGTTACTAAAGGAACTTAAAAGCATAAAAAAAATCCACCACAAACTTTAAGTAGAAGCTATTACAGAATTTGTGCTCTTTGCCAAGATTAGTGCATGTCCAGAGGACTTCATTGTTGCTGCTCTTTCACAACAAGAAGTAGGCTGTTGCTCACATTTCTATAGTGGTTACTTTTCCAGTACCTTAAACAAGAAAAAAATTGCACCCCACAGGCAGGGAAACTACGCAATTTTTAGGGCAACACATCAACAGTTTGGGGCAGGAAGTGAAGAATTTTGAATCAAGCTGAAACTGGGAGTGAGGGGGAGACAGATTCTTAGTTAAAGCCTCAGTACTCCTACAAAGCAACGTAGTAAAAAGAAATCATTTCCGCGCTAGTTCTTTCACAGGCCAGACTCTGTCAGCCTTGCAAACGCAGCAAGAGTAGGTTCCCACATTCAAGTACTACTGCCTAAATACCTTCCCTATTCGCAATTTCAGCCACGTAAGAGGCTTGGCATAATGGAATCAGTCTCCAAGCAAAGGGAACAAAGAAGGCTTAACACACCTCTCCAGTTTAGAGCACCGTTATCAGCTCTCAGAGAAATCTCATCCTGAAACCTATGCCTGTGTATTCACCTGCTGCTATTGTGCTCATCTTCAGATCCCTGCTCTTCATCTGATGTTAGAGGAGAGTAATGAACGCCGTTGGTCTGAATGATGGGCTTTTCCTTTTTCAGTACCGGGGGCTGGTCATTGTCCTGGTAAGGAACAGGAGAGTTCTTCAGGGAGTTTTCAGGAGAGGAAATGGCTGTTATTTCTAAAGGCTGGTTAATGTTATTGACCTGGGCAAGAAGGAAAGAAAGCAGTTACAGATGAGAGCACCCCTTTAGAAACAAGGCATCTTGTTAAGGATATTAAAAGCAGGCTTAACTTGCCCAGCTTTAGGATATGCCAACAGCTGCTTGTCTAGCACTGCCGTTGTTATACTCTACCATCCTGCATTAGAGCCCCAGATGAAAGCTTGAATACAATTTGGAAAATATCTAATTTTCATTCTTTGATTTCACATTTAAACACAGAAATGAAGACATGGGATAATCACTTCCCCCCCCAAACTACCATTGCAGGATCACATGAACACAACTTGTATAGCTGGCTTAATTATGCAAGAATGCCATATGCTTCTGGCACTCTTATACTATTTAGTCAATCTTAGCTTAAACTATTTGCAAAATATTTAACCTACAGCCTAAAAATCAACTTCACTGCAGAAACAAGGTCTTTGTCATAAGGGAAGAGATTATTTTTAATTTTTAATGCTCTGACAGCAAAGAACTTTTTGAAGATGTTCTACCTATACAGAAATAGTTCACCAGCTTTTCAGCAATTCTCTCGCCTCTCAGAGGGGCCACTTTCACAAAGGGTCTTCACGCCCATTCTAGCAACTAGCACTGCAACAGCCTGAGAGTACGCTAAAGAATAGAACGGCTGAAGCTTATTTCTAATTCACAGAGCTTTCCCAGGCCCTTCTCTCTTGCTAGAGCTCTTCATTTTTGCCCTTACCATGGAGTTGATATTGAGCGGTGAACCTGATGGTTGCGTAAAGAGTCCAGACACAGTAGGTAAGGATTTGCGTTTAGGGGAGACCCCGGAGTTCCCGCTGAGATTCCCAGTAGAGGATCTCTTCCGCCGGCCTCGCTTCTTCCCATCCTGCGCGTGTGCTTGGCCACAGTCCAGCCGAGCGCTCGTGGGCAGAGGACTGTGCTTGTTGGAAGGGGATTGTTTTACATGTCCTGTATTAGGAGAGATTGTAAAGATGATTCTTCTCTTGGCCTCGTTCTCAGGATCTGAAAACGCTGCATCAGACTGAAGATCCCCCTTTGTTCCTTCGGCAAACATCTTCTGAGCATCTGCATATTGCAATACCCCTACCAGGCTCTGGGAGGTGCCATTTAACCTGGGGCTTGTTGAGTGCTGGTGAGCAGGGGAGTTTTGCCCAGAGTTCCTTGACTGCATCATTAGCAAAGGATGTTGTGGAGTGGAACTCCGAGACCCTACTGAGTTAAACAGACTCCCAGAGTCGTCCAGAGCTGCCTGATCAACACTATGGTTAAGATGGGCTGGGCTGTTTGTAAGATTTCCATTGACTGCCACGGAGCCAGAAGAGTAAGAAAAACCTGTTGAAAGGGAAAGTATACATCATTGCTTCTGCTGAGTGATAGTTCACAGTGCTAGATTTCTGGGAGGACCGGGAGTGGTTTCAGCTCTACGTGCGTTAGATCAGCCAGCAGCCAGGTATTACATGGGAAACTGCACAGCTGCCTTTTACGCAGCGCAGTCGAGAACGTGGCTCTGTGTGCTGACGGTTTCAGTTCAGGGTTAATGATTTTCACTGCTCTTTGGCCAGTTCAGGAAAATTCATGTGTTATATGGAGACATCCTATGCTCCACCCGGTTTTTAAATGGAATTCAAGTGTAAGTTTCTTTTGAGCTATTGTGCCTTTTGAAATCAGGGCTCCTCTACTCTCAACTCCTTCCTATTGTCAAGGAAACAGACGGCCAAATTCAGCCCCTTTCCTTCCCCCAAAAAAGGAGGGACTGTGTCATCTATACAGCCCACCTCCTTCTCAAAATTAAACAAAAGGCTGTGGCTTAGGGAGTGACAGGGGATCTTCAAGGAAACTGTGGCAGAAGAATGCCGCACGGGAGGAAGCTTGGACAGGTATTTCTCATGGTGTATCATAAATGGGTTTAGCGCTCTAGTAAGGCCTCGTCTCTGGGCTGTCTAAATGAAAGGGGTAGAAGAGAACATGGTATTGTTTTATGACAATGGTTTTTTTAAATACTTCATTGGTTTTATAGAAAACTGCAGCCAAGCCCTTCTTTGCAAAACAGATGCTAGAAAAAACACAAGCCCCTCGAGGTGGTAAACATTACGAACAAATGCACTCTCTGATGAGGGATCAGCTGTAGAATAGCTTCAGTATGCTAGAACCTACTTTTCCTGGTCCACAACATTTCCATATCCCAAATAGCTAAAGGCCACCATTTCAACAGATGAGTGAGTTCAGAAGCAATGTCTTCACTTAAAGGTACCCTCTTCCCGTTTGACCTTTCTTCCTACCCAGATACTTGTGCCTTTACAACTGCTCATGAGGCACCATTGTGACCTGCATCAAGAAACTAATTTTGCTATTAAAAAAAAACCTCCACCACCCTGTTAAATTAAGCTTTTAAAGCCAGATCACCAGCTCACAGCACAGCTATGCAACACTGCCAGTTTGCCACACTGTTGAGGTAGGAATCTCTTAATCCACATAGAAGAATTTACAAAAGCAATTATTTATTTACACTGCGGGGTGCTGCAGTTCAGGTAAAGGCACATCAAACCAATACTTTATGCCAAAACGCATCCAAGCCGTAGGCACATGCTGTCCCAAAACATTATCATCCATGATTCTTTGGTCTCATTACAAAACACACATTTTTCTAGCACTCTACTGCCTGAACGACCTGACAAAAAGCGTTCGGAAAACTCCGATGCATGCACTTGGGGGTGCTGTCACGACAAGACAGCACACCTTCGCGTAGATGAGGCTGTTACCTGAGGTAGCCAAAGCCAGTGGCTTGTTTCCAGCAGCATTGCTTACGCCATTATGAGAACTAGCACCAATCTGCTTTTCAAGTGTCGATGAGTCTCTACTCTGATGAACTGGGCTAGGTGTGCTTCTCTGGGGGGAGAGAAACAGGCGTTTTAGTACAGGAAGCATACTCAAAAGTCAACAGTTTAAACAAAATTCACATGCATTAGTAGTAGTACCAAGGAAAGTGGCTCTACTTCCTAAATCTCCTAGATTTTGCTTGTTTTGACAAAAACATAGATCTGCATGTTATGGGACAAAAATAAATACCGTGATTAATTGTACTGCAATAGTATCCAGCACACAACAGATACCATGCAGATAGAGGGCGAACAGGCTCATCGTCCCAGAAAGTTTAGACTCAGGACAGCACTGCAATCAGAGAACGAACGCCTGTTTCACAGGCAGCCGGAAAAAGAAACAAATGGTTGTACCATGTCCCCAAGCCTGCGCACACGAAGTTCCCCAAAACAACCCCAAACGAACATGAAATCCCTTAGGCTATGTTCTCTGGTACACTGTCTGAGGGTATGATCAACAAGGGGTGTCTTCCTAAAGCAGGCAAACAATTGTGAAATGGTAGCCTGAACAAACAACGTGTTGAAGTGAGAGATGCCATCCAGAGGTAACATTCTCTCTCTCTGAGGACGTACGACTTCTGCTCGGAGCTGGGCAGACTGTAGTTCTGCTACAACTAAAAGCCTACAGCTGGAAAAAGATAATGGATTCAATACTATGAAACAACTCCAGCTTTCCAAATCTGGGATTGTAAGGCAGGCATTTGTGGATGGATTCTAAATTCACAGCTCTCATGTGAAAGCAGCAAATGTTTCTCAGTTCTCTGCTGTAACACTTTTGTGACAAACATTTGTGAGAAATGGGACCAGGCTTTTTTAAACTTCTCTGCCACTGAGAGTAGCATGGGCTTAGCAGGATTCCAAAAAGAGATGGTCTCTAGTTGCTCTCTGCTGCTACAGAGCAGTCACTTGCACATGAGGTATTACAGCCTTAAAGCGTTATTCAAGTTCATCCTACACATGTATGTGATAAAGATAGACAATTTTGAGATGACCAAACTGAGGCAGAATTTGTCTCCCAGGGTCATGTAAGAAGGCAGGGGCTAAGAACAAACTGACACGTGTGATTCTCTGCTTTCACTGCCACAAACTCTCAGACTCTGAGCCTTTTCCACCCAGCCAGACGTTTAAGACTAGGATTTCTTGAGGCATGTACTTTACTTTCCTTCCTGGCTGAAATACCGCCACCCCACAGACAAAAGAGAGTAAAAATCTACAGAATGACAGTAAAAATCTACAGAAGACAGTAAAAATCTAAGAGCCAGGAGGATGCATCCCAACAGCAGCCTCCCCCAAAGCATCGAACATTCGAGATTAGCAGCCCGCTAAGGATTCTGGTGCACAGCACCCCATTACTGCCCAGTGTGATTTTAGTTAGGGATGGAAAGTGTTGACAATCCCTTACTCACCACCTTCTCAACACGGCTAGGTAGGACTACGCTGGCCAGAGGGATACTAACAGGGAGTTTATTGGGCTGCACTGTGCTGAGAGGAATACTGATAGGTAGGCTGGTGATAGTTTCTCCATTACTCACAGAGGTTCTCTCTCTCAAAACCTGTAAACGCAAAAGAGAAAGTAATATTCTTAACTGCATGCTATTACTGAAAAGACTTTGTCGTCCTTTCCCCCCCCCCGCACATCACGCTGGCACTGGTAGTGTGTTCAGACTG